AAACAGGTTCCAATGCCTTTCTGAGCTGGCTTGGTTTGGTGGCTGGAAACCCACACATGGTCTCACCAAACAGACTTCAGATGGCAGCCTTTAATAAATGTTCTAGTTTTTGAAAAGCAGGGCAGTCACAGTGACCTCTGAGAAAATCAAGTGCTGTTAGATGTGGTATAAATAACCCAATGGGTGAAACGCTTCATTCTAACTCAGTTTTCAGCCACATGTACAGCAAATGGACAAAGGATCCTAGGGATGCAAAGTCCACTGGAAGGAAGATCCTAGTCTCCCTGAACCTTGACTTCAACTGGGCATCTCACACATTTAATTATTTCCAGAATAAAAGGTAGGTACCTTTTACTGGGGAGAGGGCCTTTAGAAGACAGTGGGGGTGATATTGGTTCAGAGGCAGCAGTGCTTCCAGGGAAATACAAACAGCACTGGGTTATGAGAGTGGTAATAATCTGGAAACCCAACGGTTAGAGAACCTACCCCCGCCCCAGGAAGATATTAAGAATACCACGATACCAGAATTGATCCATGCAAACAACTCTTCATTAGCATCTAGAATTTACCTGCTACCATAAACAGTGCTGAGGGCCCAGAATTGCACCAGATACTCCTGGAGGGGCACACAGTCTGACTGGCTCCATCAGTTAGAGTTCCAGCAGAAAAAGGTAGCCCCACCCAGCTGGGAATTTAATAATGGGACTATTTACCAAAGGGTAGGTGAAGCTAAGGGAGCCTATAAGGGCTGGGGAGGTATATATCAACTTTAAAGGGAAGGAGCCGTCTCAACATGGTTCTCTGTAGGTTAAGAAGGTAAGTGGAATACAGGTAAGTCCCACCAACACGTCTTGTCTTGAAGCTTAAAATGATTGGGATTTACCAGTTAGTTTGTTCAGCACCATCAGCGGGAGGGGTCTCTCCCTTGTGCCAGAATGAAACCACACTCCCTCAACCTTTTCACCATAACCTCAAGAATTCTGGGCTCCATCATCCTTAATTCCTTCTCTCCACTGTGCTACCTGCAGTCATCACTGTGAAGGGTCTTCCAACACCTTCCACTATGGTTGGCTCTACGGTATGTGCTGGAGTGGGTGTGTATCGGTGTGGGCTTGGGACTCCCCGCCAATCTCTTCAGAGGCTAGCCCACATCAATTACTCCTTTAGCCCAGTAGATGTCCTGGCTTTAGGAAGTGAGACAATCACCATTCCAGATTCCCTGAGCCCCATTTCACACCTGAGGGAACTAACTAACATCCCAATGAGGCTGATGTCTGACCAGCTCAAGGTCATGCAGCAGACTCAAGCCCAGGTTTGAGCCCCTGCTCTTTGTACCTCATCATTCTGTGACTGGCCGAAGAAGGAATGGGTTACAATCTCCATCAGACAAAACTGTTACCTGTGCTGGTGGTTACCACAACTTTACTCAGTGAGATTACATGAATTCTTACCTTCTCCTACATGACATCGAGAGTCTCCTATGATTTACTCAATGCATTCATCTTTAACTCCATCTTCTGCATATTTAGAATGACAGAATAATTTGCAGGATAATTTAGGCTCCATTAGTATGTTATACATGCCTCTATTACAGTACTTGTCACATCGTGCTGTAATTTTTTGTTTACATATCTGTCTCTGCCACTTGACTGTGAGTTCCTACGGGGATTAGCCTATGTCTTACTCATGTTAGTATTCCACCTCCTCCCCAGAACCCAGCAGCTGAACATTCTGAACGTCGTAGGTTTTTAGTGAATGAGGCAGTTATTTAGAGTAAGGCTCAATAGACAACCGCACCTGGTTTGCACACATTCATTTATTCAACAGATATTTATTAAGTTCTGACTGTGTGCCTAGCAATATGCTAAGCTCTAGGAACCCACACATACCACCTCTGTGTGTTTGGGATATAATGGGAGATAACGGCACATAAAAAAAGATAAAATCCTAATTGCTACAGACTGTGTTTCTCCAAAATTCATGAATTGAAATCTTAATCCCCAAAGTATTGATATTAGGAGGAGGGAAGGTGATTAGGTCATGAGGCTGGAGCATTCATGATGGGATTAGTGTCATTACAAAAAAGGTCCCAGGGAGATCTCTGGCCCCTTCCCACGTGTGAGGACATAGCGAGAAGATGACTGTCTAGGAAGCAGGCTCTCACCAGACAGAATCTACCAGCAACTTGATCCTGGACTTCCCAGCCTCCAAAACTGGGACAAATAAGTTTCTGTTGTTTACAAGCTACTCAATCTATGGCGTTTTTGTTATAGCACCCTGAATGGACTAAGACACTAATCAACATGCAATTTGCAGAGACACACAGGGTATTAAGGGAGACTAGAAGTGGCTAATTAATATGGCCTGGTTGAGGAGAGGTTCAGGTAAGGGTTTCTAGAGAAGGAAACTGCTGAGCTGCATTTTTGAACATGGTTATGAAATAACCAGTCAAAGACATGCTGCGAGGAGGCTATCAGGGAGAGGAAATAATAAGAGTAAAGGCACTAGGACATGACATAGCCAGTTGTGACTGGAAAACTCTGCCAATTTGGTGCTGTAGGACCAACATCAACTATGAGACAAGAGTAAGGCAGGAAAGACTATCAAAGCTAGCTGAGAGTGGCCAGTTCACCAAGTTATGGAACTTGGATGTTATTCTGTTAATGATACTGATGCAGTAAAGGGACTTAAGCGGGGGAGAGATGTGGTAAGACTGGCATTTTAGGTAGAATCACTCCCTGATCTTGTGAAGAATAGAGTTGGGGGATAAGACTAGAATTAGGAAAACCAGTTAGAAGACAGTTACTAAAGTACTGGAAAGAGATGAAGAAGACCTGAACTAGGTCAGTTGTAGAAGGAATGGAAAGAAGAGGACTGACTTGAGCTTGACTTGGGAGATGAACTTAGCAGGATCTGGTGGTTAGTTGGATTTGAGGAGTAAGGGAGAGAGAGGAAACAAGGAAGACTCCCAGTTAGAAGACAGGGCCATACTCACAGACGGAGAATAGAGGTAAATAGTCAGGTTTGGGGCAAGGTGCTGAATTCATTTTAAACATCTTGAGTTTGAGGTGCATCTAACTAATTGAGGAAATGTCTAACAAGCAGTCAAAGATATGTTTGAAGCTTGATGGAGATGGGGAGAGGGCTGGGATTAGAGGTATAAAATTTTGGGTCCTAAACTAGAAAGCAGTGGTAGAAATCATGAGAGTCAGCAAAATCACTATGGTGAGTATGTAGTGTGCGATGGACAAACAGCTGGGCCAGGTCCCTGGGAAACACCAGGGAGATTTAGGTCTTTGTCTCCTCTCCTTTCCCAATATTTCCTCAATTCTTTACCCATCAGCAGACCTATGCTTGGGATTTTGTATAAAGGGATAAAAATCCCTAAATCTATAATGATGCTTACCATGAAAACACCCTGGGAGACACATAGCACAGTACCTCATATGTGCACCAAGTTTTAAAACATATCTGATCCTTTCCTGAGAGAATTTTCTGATGGGAGAGGTAGAGGAATAAAAGGGGCTCAGCAGGGAGTGGAGAAACATTGCAAAGGGAGTCTGAGGGTGTGTTTCTTTGTGGCCAGGCACACTGGTTATGAGTGCAGCCTGCAGCTCTGCCTGCCTCTTACCAACTTTTGAATGCATCCAGCTTGGGCTTCAATTTCCTCATCTGAAAATGAGGATTACAATAGTACTTACTTCATAGTAGTGTTTAGAGTGTTAACTGAGTTCATATGCGCAAAGCATCTGGAACAATGCCTGCCTCATAGTAAGTACTGTAAAAGTATTAGCCGCTATTGTTATTTACCATTTTAACTTAGGCCGTGGAGTTGTGTACAGCATTTTCTGTCTCTCATTTCCCACACCATCCTCTCCTTTGGGAATGGTTACAATGCAGACCCTATATTGTTGGCTCAGGCTTGCTCTACCCCCGTTTACAGTTCCTGATGTTTGGGATCCAGTGACTTAGGAGGTAGGTTTGTTTTTGTTTTGTACTCCGTGTGTAGCCTGCAGTTCTTTCTCCCAGTACTTGTAAACCCTGATTAAATCACTGAACAGCACCACCTACAGACTTACATAACTGCATCAGGAGCATTTCCCTTGGGGATCTGCTCAAAACCCTCTGAGTCAGTTGCCCAGGGAAACAACCTGGTGATGTCACAAGGTCCCTTCTGTCGAGCCTGAGGCAGGGCCCGGTTCTGAAAACTTTGCCCAGCCTAAGCATACTCTTGTCCTCTCCAAGGCAATGCAGAGACCCTCATTCTCTCTCAGCAATGTCTGAACTCAGGTATATTGGGGTAGTGACCACACACCTCTTCCTGATTCTTTGGCCACAGACCACTTGCTATGCTTCTTCCCTCCAAGGGAACAGAAATGCCTGTTTAAATGGAGTGTCTGGGACAGCTCTCAGTAACTCTTGGTTCTCTAGAGTACAGATAAAAAACTGTGGGGGGTGGGGGTGGGGGGGAAAACAACTAACTAAAACGCTGGGGCTGCTCCCTAGAGGATCAAAGGTTGTTTCAGATTTTATAGGGCCTCAGAGACCTTAGGAGCAAGATTTACAACACCCTTCCCCTTTCTAAATATTTACTTCCCTCCATGCGATAAACACGCCCACAATCTCTCCCTCCTGGTCTGTCAACCTGCTTCTCATTCTCTCAAGATATATTATGGCAACTTCCTTATTCTGCCCCCAAGAAAAGAAAATACGACCATGACGGTAGGTATTTTCATTAGAGTTCTCTGGTACTTAACGATAAGGTCATTTAATCATGCCCCGACCCAGTCAAATAGTGCAAAGTGCACTTCTTACGTTGCTCCCTGCCCTCTTCAAAGCCTAAGTACTGAAACATATGCAAATTTGCGGATTACCTGCTATTATCTAAATGAAGGCATCTGAAAATCAGCAATAATCCTGTCTCCCACGTTTATCAGGAAAGGAGCCTATGAGAGAAGCAAAATTCAGCCATGTTGGAACTCTCAATCCCAGAGGGGTGTGTTACACAGTTCTCCTTCTCCGGCCTGGCCCGCCATAGGACTTCCGCTGTGACCTGCGGAAGTACGGCAGAGGGAAGCTACTTTGAGACCGTTACAGTTCCCTGGTCAGAGCTAGCCATGACGAGGACTTCTACGTGCATATACCACTTTTTTGTTTTGAGCTGGTATATTTTCCTCAATTTTTATATCTCACAACAAGGAGAGGATCGGCGGAAATCCGAAGTCTTTCTAAATGGTGGACAATGGAAGTACTTAACATTCCTTAACCTGGTAAGTCCATTCGGCTGTATCAGGAAGCAAGCTATTTGTCTGTAATATCAGTGCCTCTACACATAACACCTTTGGATTTTATCAAGTACAAAATTCCAATATTTGTCTTTCTTCTTCACTGTTTGTTTGTGAGTTTTGGCATTCTCTTTTACTTGACAATTTGCTCTGAGAAACCCCATTTGGGAGTTATCCATAGCTACCTTTTGTGCTAATTGTTAAATGCTCTTTTGAAAAGAATCTTGTCTTGAAGTTCTTCTCAGATGAGCCCAAATGGGGAACTAAACTAATGGTTTCACCATGGGACTGACTACATATGCAGGAGGAATTTTGAACTTTGCTTGGGGAAGTCTGTGAGGGAAGGCAGAGTGGTGCATGTTGCGTGGGAAGTGCAATTTCCAGTGGAGGAATAATGCCCTTTTACAGCACACACAGACTAACAGATTTATCTAAGAAAAGCAAATACATTTTGCCAGGTTCGGATCCCACTTCAATTTTTTATAGGCTCAGGCTCCATCTTAAAGGACAAATCACCCAACCAAATGGCCAATACACATTTTCAACTATTTACAAACCAATCACATCACTTGATCCTTTCTTGTCTCCCTAGCCCAGCTGACCACAATCTGATGAATGAAGTGATGAAGTGTGAATGAATGGGAGAAAAATAGGTTTTTAAAAAATGTTTTGGAAATATGTAAAATTATTTTTAGAGTTAAAAGCTAAACATGCGGCAGCCTTTGGGGATGCTAATTAAAGTTTTGAGATTTTTAACCTAAATGTAGGGTACCATATAAACATCTGATTTCAGAAACTAGACAAAATATTCCAGTTCTTTGGCATCACAATCCTAGGCAGAGGTAATGCATGGTAAAAAAGAAAAAGACGATGACTCTCTGTAATGCTAAGGAGAGGAAATTCAGAAGGTTCAAATCAAAGAAGCCTGGAAGTTCAGCTTCCTCCTCTCTGGTAACTTGCTGGCTTTTGATTTTGAGATTTGAGCCCTGAATACAGTTCTACGGTGCCTGAAAAATATCAAGGTGATGGCTTGTTTCAATCATAGAGTTTTATGAGAAAACAAGTAAATAGAAAATAACAAAAAATGATTCTGTGGAATTAGAATCATACAGTAAAAGTCTCAGCTTTATGTATCTATTAGCTTCACATTAAGAATAGTCAAGGTAAAGAGAGCAGCGTCAGCCAGGATTGATGATCTAATCAAATCCAAATTCTAGTATGGTTGTCCTCCCTCACACTAAGCATGGCTAAGAGCAGATTCATCACTGACTCCCAAAACCCATCTCCCTGGCTTCTTAATTATAGCTCGGTTACATGTCCCAGAGGCACCATATTTCCAAGAATGGAAAAAGACACTCATCTGTCCAGGACACTTATTTCCTAGTGTTAATTCCCTGACTAATCAGCCACCAAATCCTATGCCTTCCCTCTTGCTAGGTTCATCCCTTCTTCCCCAATCGTACTGCCCCTCTCATTGTAGGTGTTTATTAGTTGGTACCTAGATGACCAGATCACCTCTTCACTGTCCTCCCATTATCAGTCCATCCATCACTCAGATTTCAGATTAATCTTCCCAAAGAACTGTTTGGGGTTTTGTTTTGCTTCAAACATCATAAGCCTGCTTGAGAAGTGTGGTCAGCTACTCAAGAAACCACAGGGGCTCCCTCCTACCTTACAGGACCAATCTAAACTCCCGATTTAAGAGCTCACCTGCCTACTTGGCCGTTGGGCGCTCGCCTCCCTAGGAAGGTTGGTCTATTCTCCAGGAAGGCCTGTGTCTTCTCCAGTGTTGGTCCCTAGGCTTTTGCTGTCACTGTTCGACCCATATTCACACTATCCTTGAATGAAAGGCCTACCTGCTTCTACACCACCTTGCTGCTTTCACAGACCACCTGAAATCCCATATTCTCCTTAAAATCTCTGCTGAGCAACTCTAGCCCAAATTCGTTTTTTCCTTTCCCTGAATTTTTACGGCTTCTCTCAGTCTCCGCTTATTTATGTATAGTATTGTTTTCTCATTTTCACCCACATGTGATTCTCAACATTTCAATCAAATTTTAAGTGGCTCCCAAACAGGAGTTTTGTCTCCTAAGTCTTTGCCAGCCCTGACTTTCTACGATTCTACATTGTATTTGCCACAGTGGCTGGCGCAGATTATCCCCATAATAAAAGCTGGGTGCCTTGGTATGTTGACTGGACTTGACCTCACTTTTCTGTATTCCTGAGCAGTATAGTCTCTTCTGACATCTTCTGGCCCTTGAAATGGGCAGAGAGGGGCTTCCCTATGGCTGTTTCCTTTCTGCTGTTAGGTGTCATCCTGAAATTGTGACTTAATGCAACGTTTTCCAACTGGTGAAGATGGGTTGAATGTGTTTTAGAGGATCGATTTAAGGTCAGACTTCAAATATGTGACATCACGTGAAATACTGTGCCTTAAAATTTCTAGCTCTTGAGGTTTTGTGGGCTGATTAATGGTTGTGTTTCCTAATGATTAATTAGTGTTAACTAACGAATAATTAGTTAATGGTTGCATTTATAAAGTCACAGAGGTCTCATAACTTGCTATAACACTCTTAAATTTATTTTATGTAAACATATTGAAGTCAGTACCCCATCCTGCTTTCCAGGAAATTTACATCCCACCCCTTTAAACAGCTTTCATTTCTAGTTGGCTGAATATCCGTCATGGCTCCTAAGAACAAAGTCCAACTTAATGCAAGTCAGCATTCTAAGTGGGCCCCATTTCCTCCTGAAGCTACCCCAGGGGCTTCAAAGGATTAATGCCTGGGGCATGAGGTGAGTTAGTGGGGGTGCCACTGAGGAATGGTGACCAATTCCTGCCTAGTGCCTAAGGAGAGTAAAGGAAGAAGAGGAGAGATGTGATGTCTGTCTAATGAGGGAGTAAACTGACGCCAGGGAAGAGGCAGCCAATTCCCTGTTGGGAGGGAAGGCAGTATAGCTTAGTGGGTATAAGCAGGAGCTCTAGGATCATGAGCTATCTGGGATGGTTCCTCAGTTCCACCTCCTACTGACCCTAGTCTGGGTATTTCTTTGTCTTCTATTTCCAAATCTGTCAAATAGTGCATAACCACAGAGTGACCGTAAGGGACAAAGGACATGAGGGAAGCACTCAGAATGGTGTAAGAAGTGGAAAACGGAATGAGGAGATAGGAGAGTGCTGGTGAGCTTCTAGCCATCTCATCTTTGAGTACAGAAGGGATGGTGCAGAGGGGAGGGTAATTTTGGGGGACATCAGTCCCCTCACTGAGCACCATGGGTAGTGGGTCATGGATTCAGGCAAGGGTCACCCAACTGCCTCACTGCTCAAGTACTTCCCTCCACAGGCTTCACACTTCAGCTTCCCAGCTAGAGGAGGACCACTGTGGAGTCAACGCTTTCCCTATATAATAGTTGCCTAAGTGGATGCCCTCAGGCACTGGGGAAGCCCTAGAGCTAGAGTCTGCAAGCTCAGGCAGAGGGCAATGAATCCTGCTGAATGCGGTAGCCCCCAGGAGCTGGGCATGGGGACAAGGCAGTGCTGTGGACATCCTCGGGTGCTCACGTTGGCTCAGGCTTCCAGTGCCTGGGTCTTCCACAGTGTTGTGTTCCCTCCTCTCCATCCACTCCACTTCCACCCAGGGACTGTCCCTGACCCCAGGGAATGCAAGCTGGGAGAGGGGATAGAGGGATTTTTCAGCTACAATTGAAATCGGCTTGCAGAATTCATAAGAGTTTGCTGGGTTTTTCTCTTTTTAAAAATAAACTTCCTTCTGAAACATGGTTAGAGGTGGTGCCTCATAACCGGGATCTCCAGGGGAGATTCTGGGCGGGCCCCTCCCTGTTTCCCTCCCCCCACTTCACCAACAGAGGCATGACGTTTCCCTCCCCTCTTCATATAAAGTTGCCCAAGCCGCAGGCAGCTCTGACCTCATTATCGTCAAGCTCTCAGGATGACAACAGCCACTTCATTACATAGGTCCTCAGGGATGGCAAAGCAGGGCCAGGGGAAGAGAGATCCTTGAGACATCCCTGGGGACGTTCCATCGTTCAAACTCCAAGGTAGCCCATGGACAGTGAGAAGACAGGGATCCATTTATAGTATATAGAACCCACTGCGATACTTGGGGCCAACCTTTAATTTCCATCATCGGGTTAATATATTCATCTGTGGAACTCTTAAGCTCAGCAGACTCAGAAATACACTTAACGGTCTATTCCACAAAAATGCTTAAGATCACTGTTTTTACCTCTCAGATAGTTGAAAGAATGAGGGCTGAGAGAAGGGAAGAGTCACCACCAGCATCCAAAATACAACAGCTGTGGTTTCCTGAGTAACCATGACAGCACTTCGGTAGGTTCTTTGTGCACAGTATAAAGATCAGTGATTGAAGGCCTAGCTTCTGGAGCCAGACTGCCTGGGTGCCACTCACTTGCCGTGTGCTCTTGAGTGAGTTACCTAACTTCTCTGTGCCTCATATGTAGTGGATCTGTGGTGTGGCACACAGATTCCCCTACCTCCCCAGCATCAAGGTCCTCATTCCCCAGCTCCTGGGAGAAGGGGTGCTGGCTGCTGATGACTCATAGCTGAGCTCTCATCCCACAGGTGTCCTCAGCAGAAGGGAGCTACCTGGACCAAGGCTTAAGACCTCCCTGAGGTTGCTGCGTGCAAAGACTGGTTGACCTGGGCTACAAAGGCTGGGCTCCAGGACAACTCTGAAGGGACAGCTCAACTCCAGGGCTCCTTCGGGGATTAGTTGATTCCATGCAACTGTACTGCCCTTCCGGTTTTCTTGGTGCTCAGTCCTTCTCCCTCCCTCCCTCCCTCTTCTCATGGATGTTCTGAGAGCACTCCTCCATGAACACCCTTCAGGCAGATCTCAGCATCTCAGATTCTGTTTCCAAAGGAACCTGGCCTACAAAACGTAAAATGGTAAATGTACTGAAAAGGTTCCTCCTCTTCTGCCGCCTCTTCTTCTTCCTAATAAAGACATATTAACATAGAACCTGCCCTGGTCTGTATTATGCCTAACTTCTGGCACCTAAGAGACATTCTGTGAATGTTGGCTGCATGAATAAATGATCAGAACATAACTCTTAACTGGTAAGAGCCACTTTCTAGAGAACCCCATCCCACCTGTAAGACAGCCTACCCCACGGCCATCCTACTGCTACACTGAAGCCAGCTGTTACCAGCTACACAACACTGGCTAAGCATTCCTACAAATCTTCCTTCCAACCTGTCCCTCAATGTTCTTAGTTTCTTCTCTTTATTTTCTTGTGTTCTTCATATCAGTTCTTCTCCCATGTTCTTGATCTCATTCCTTCATCTGTTTCATAAGCTCAATGCACATGAATAATGTCTGAAATATAATATTACATATAATACAGATATATTTGACAAAGACTTCCTCTACCTGTCCCAGATGCCACCACCCTTACCACCACAGTTATACAAAATGCACATCACAATGAGTCCCCATTTGCTCTTTTATTCTGAATTAATCTCCACTGCAAGTGTTGCATCATTCTGAAGGCGAGACCTGAGAAAGTCCCGGCCTGTCTGAGTCAGGCACAGAGAGCTGAGCTGGGCGTTGGATTACTTGACTCATTCAATCAGAGTTGTAATGTCTTGCTCAGGAAACTTGTGGAATCTCCCTCTCTGGAATTATTTTTAAATGAAGAAATTCTCATTTCCTGGGATAGTTTAAGAGGATTCTGGCTTAGAGCAAGGAAAATAAACTTGACGACTTAGAAAGGTTAAGCTTCTGTGTTTTCAAGATTGTTGTGAATTTTGTGAAGACATATGAATGTAAAAACGAAACATCCTTTAGCTATGGTTTCTCAAGTTGCACTAGTTATTAAAAAAATGTAAACTAAGCTCTCCCAGGTGGTAAGTTTGTCAGCTAGCAACAAAAATGGAAGACAGCTAACAATCTTAGATCAGCAGTATTTCAGAAGAAAGGACAGACGGAATTAGGGAAGAACTGGTAGAAAAAAATTAAATCAGACAGCAGCAACTCTGAAGTAAACCCTGACCAAGAAGATACCGTTAACTCTGCTTTTCTGAGCAGCCCAAATAGTTGAGAAATGTAAACAACAGTAATTTTGCTGTAAGAGTCGTAAAAGAAGGCCAGTTGTTGCTATCTTCTTTCAATGCTACTCTATTAGTTTGCTGGGGCTGCCATAAAAACGTACCACAGACTGGGGAGCTTACACAACAGAAACTTCCTCAGAGTTCTAGAGGCCAGCAGTCCAAGATCAAGGTGGTGTTAGCAGGGTTGGTTTCTACAAGCCTCTCTCCTTGGCTTGTGGATGGCTGCCTTCTCCCTGTGTCTTCACGTGGTCTACCCTCTGTGTGGGTCTGGGTCCTAATCTCCTCTTCTTCTAAGGACACCAGTCCTACTGGATTAGGGCCTACCCTACTGTCCTCATTTTAACTTAATCACCTCTTTAAAGATCCTGTCTCCAAATACAGCCACTTCCTGAGGTACTGAGGGTTATAACTTCAAATATGAATTTTGGGGACATACAATTCAGTCCCTAACAGCTGCCATTTTCCCCCTTGACTATTCCTTCTGTGAGTGTCTTATAAACATCCCAGTGTACTGTCCTTAGAGAATGAGCAGACCAGTGTCTGGTTTTGTGAGCTGATGCAAACCTGCCCTTGAGGCCCTGCAGGAGGCCTCCCCATTGAGTAAGCCGATGCCACCTCCCTCTCCTTACTCTCCAGCTCTGCTGTGTGGATCCTCTATGCCCTAGTTCTTGCCTATTCATTTCTTTTGGCAACACCCTAGCGCCTCCCCCCTGGGCTCCTATGTAGGGGCTCATAAATATTCCTTGTTGATACAGATGATGGCACATCAACGTGGATTAAGATCAATGGAGACAAGGCTGCCTCACGCACACAGCTGGCATCTCTCCAAAGTGACATATGCCTGTGAAATAACGTGTGAGCTGAGGGCAGAGGGGGAGAAGTGATTGGCAAGTTTGTGGTGTGGAGCAAATTTTTATCGGTGAAGGAGAAGCCACGGAGGCTCTGAGTAATGTGTTCTTTCCCCAGTCCAATTTCCACATTCTGCGACTGGGAAAGGCAAGAGAAAGTCAGGACGAGCTTGACTCATGCTGACGCTAGGAAGCTCTCACTAAGGAAAGTGGTCACATGGACTTCACATGCTGGGTGGAGGCGGCCTCTCCCCAAGGAGGGAAAACCTGGCAGGCACTCAGCGCTCAGTGGGAGATTAATTGCTGTGTGGATTAATTGCTGTGTTGATAGAACGGTGCAGGCCTCCTCACCGGGGCCCAGGCCCCTGGTCTGCCCTTCCTAACTCCAGCAGCTGCCTGCTATGGCCTCAGGGGTGAGCTGAGAGCTGCTGGGGAAGAAGGGGAGAGAAGGAGACTTCTCCTAGCATTCAGTGCAAAGACTGCACTCCAATTCTGCAGCACTCAGGGCTCAACGGCAAAAGTAAATGACGAGTATTGGGGTGGCAGCCTCTTCATGGCATTTAAAACTGTAGCCCACCCTCCCTGGAATGGCCCCTTCTGGTTTGAAGCTTCCTCCTCCCTCAGGGCCATGGGGTTCTTGCACATTCCTCATTTTCTACCATCTGATCATTCTTTGCTACTTTGCTTCCCCCTTAGCCCTTCTGTCCCTTAGAGGAGGGCATTTCCTCAGCATTTGCTTCCCACTTCTCTCCTCTTCCCTTTGTCCTCTCTTTAGAAACCTCATCCCACCATGTGGGCTCATCTCCGCAGCCCCGCCTCCCTGGAGGCTACCAGGTCTGCATTTCCAAATGGAAGTTCCTCTAGGCAAGTGGTTCTCAACCTTGGCTGCCCTGATTACAATCACCTGGGAGAATGTTTTAAGATCCTGAAGCCTAGGCTGCACCCCCAGACTCATTAAATTAGAATCTTTGGGAGTGAGAATCAGGCATCGGTATTTTTTGAAGTCATTTTTAATTCTCCCACCTGGAGATAATGGTCTCTTTTTCTGAACTCCCACAGTGCTTTATCCTTATTCTTAGAAACCTGACACATCACATGGTATGTGTGGTTTTTTTAAAGTCTGGCTCAAGAAGCAGACTTTGGGTTTCAAATCCTAGCCTTGATATTTATCAACCATTAGACTTTAGACAAGTTTATTTATCTCTCTGTGCCTCAGTTTCCTCATCTGTAAAATGGGAAATGGGGAAGGAATAACAGGACTTACCTCATAAGGTTGTTATAAGAAATTAAAAGCTTAGATCAGTGGCTAGCACATAACAAGAAATCAATAAAATCCAGCTATTACAAAAAAAAAGTCAGCTATTATAGTTTTGAGTAGTCAGTAAGATTTTTAAGTGATAAATTTATGTCTAATCCAGTGGTTCTAGAACTTTAGCATATACACAGAGCACCTGGGAGTTTACTGAAAAACAAATTCCTGGGTCCCATTCCCAGAGATTCTGATTCCATAGTCTGGGGTGGGGCTGAGGTCCTGCATTTCTAACAAGCTTTGGGGTGATGCTGGTACTGCTGGTCTGAGGACCCCCGTGGGGACATCGCTGGCCTAATCCACCTCTGTGTCCTCTCCTGCCCACCCTTCAGCCTGAGGAGTGGCAGGAGGCCAACTCTGCGAGAGGTTTCCTAGGGTTCAGAGCTCAGAGCTTGTTCCCCAAAAGGCGACTTGGTTGATCATTAGTCCAGATGCCCAGGTTCCAGAACTTGTCTGACTCAGACTCACAGCAGAGTCCAGGCTGTTCCTTTTGTACCAGTCAGAGCTTTCAAGGAACAGGATTGATTCTGAAGCAGTAGTTCAAAACCAACTCCAACTCTGTACTATTGTGACCCTTAAATTAGAAGCCGTGGGTTTGTGGAACACTGTAAGAATGGACAAAGTCTGTTCTGATTGTGATCTTGTGTCCTTGAAAAAGGCCCTGCTTCTTTTTTACCTTCAAGGCCCTCAGGAACCTAGAGATGCACCCGAACCCACGGTTTGCTGTATAGCCCTGTGGATTTAAATCACTCCCTCACACAGACTGTCTCTGTGAGGTCTTCAGAGGCCTTCTCCTCTGGCTTCTCCCTCAGAAAGGCAAGGTGCCATGTTGTGGGTTTCCCTCAGGAGAGCACAGAGCTCCTTCATGGGGCTCTTGACGCTGATTCTGGCTTCTCTAATGAGATTGCAACACTAGGCATTTAAAAATTTTTTTCTTCCTAGGAAGAGGCCAGAATATATCTACCATTGCGTCTGGTGCTCTGCCCTTGTGCTGTTTATCTGGTTTTTCCCACCTCTGTGCAGCCAAGGTATCTATCTCATTACATTCTCCTTTTAAGCTGACTCTATTCTGTTTCCATTTTAGCTCAAGTCCATTATGCTAAATACTGTACACATTATTATCCCCTAAACAACTTTACACAATCGGTTTTAGTGATCAAGGTCAGGGCCCAGCAAGTTGCAAGACCAACCTTCGAATTGGCTCCCAACAGCCAGCAGCCCCTCCTTCTCAAATCAACACTGCTCCCAGAGGGATGGTGCTTCATGTCAGTGAAGAATGTATTAATTAAAGGAAATGAAAAGGTCCTCATTTGTTGTGATGAATTTAGTTCTTGCAGGCCCTTTTCTACGGGGTGGCCTGTCTGGAAGATGTGCTGAAAAGAGCTAAAGGGAAAAAAGACATTAAGTTCATAACAGCCTTCAGAGACCTGCTTTTCACCACGCTGGCTTTTCCGATATCTGCAGTAAGTTTACAAAGATGTGCAGGTAATATACTACACATGTCGTATGGACTGACACTTCTCCTGGGCAGCAAGGAGCCCATTATTATAATCCAGGGCAACTGCATTTGCATAAATGGCCTGAGGACTGCATAGCACTGCCCAGTGTCTTCGGGAAATAAGGCACATTAACTGACAAGATTTACCATTAGCTTTTGTACCTTTGTGAACGTTTGCTACAAGATCCTTATTACTGTCTAACAGGGAAGTCTGAAGGACCTTTCTTAACCAAAATACAACCTTGGTTCCATCAGGGTGATGGGAATGGAGGCTGCTGAGGAGGCATATGACCAATTTCCCTTTCATACATCTTGTTTCACTTGCTGCAATAAGCATTTGTTACTTCTGCAAGTGGAAGCCATTAAAAAAAAGGTATGAAAAGTTTCAAAGTTGACACTTTGAAATGGAGGAGAGAGAGGCTGTTTGAAATACCTGGTGTGGGACACATGGTGGGTGACTCACGCATTTTGTTGAATGAATGGACATTGGGAAGAAGCAAGACATATATATGCAAGGGACAGTCGGCTTGTTGCTGATACTGTCCACATTTCTACAACATTGCGCATGTTTTCATTCATTAGTTAGAATGGAAACAAACTGAGACCAGGCACACGGGCTGCCCAGCAGGGCCTATAATTAGAAATGATTACCTCTTTCTACCCGTCATCATTCCACTTCCTATAGTATTGAGACCTCAAACTTAAATCCAAAATGAAACTCTCCAAACACCAATAATGAGCTCTCAGATAACGGAGTGAGTACTGGCATTCCAGTTTTACTTTGTAGGACACCTCCTCCTCCACCCCCAAAAATCTTCTAAAGAGGCTAAGTTTTTTTTGTATCAATGGAGTTTATTCATTTTTTAAGACTTAGAAATTGAGCCTTTGGAATTTAAGAAGATCATTAGAAGATTAATAGTTATTTTTTCCCATCTCTCCATTGATTTTGTAGCATGGAAGACAGACACTTTGAAAAGATAGCCAAGGGGTACAAGAGGATGGGGATCAATCCAAAGTTCTGAGCAATAAGGAGATCCAACTCTCCGTTAACTAGCTTGTGAATTACCCTGGGAGCTTGTCACCTATCCTCGCCCCAGCCTTCCTGCTTCCCCTTGCCATGCCTATTTAGAGAGTGGGCAACGCAAGTGGAAGACTCAAGCCATTCCATGTGGTTGCTCTCAGCACTCCTGGTAAAGCTCAGAGAAGAGAGAAGTCATTGGTTAAAATGAAATGGTCTGCGAATCCTATTTATCTACATCCTCTCTGCCTGCCACAATGACAAATAATTGATCCCTAACTCTCTGAAATCCCCAGAGACTGGGTATTGTAATTCTACACTAAATAATTTTTCCTTCATTTAGTATTTCATTACGTATATATAGGAATGTATCTTTAAAACTGGTATCTATTTTTATTTTGCTACGTTTCCTTGATTATCTTAGGAAGCACTCATTGAAAATAAATCTAATGATACTATTTTTGTGTTCTATTTTCCAGTTTGTATTTTTGTCATTCTGGATCCTATTCCTCTACGATCGAGAACTCGTTTACCCTAAGGCCCTAGATGGTATCTTTCCAGTGTGGTTGAATCATGCAATGGTGAGTGAAAGGAAAATTTAGTGAATACAGAACGGCAATAGCCTCTGTTCTGAGAACTCCAAGTGCCTTATTTATGTTTCCAAACTGCTCCTCAACCCCCAAAATCCCATTCACTCCTCCCTCTTCATCCCGTCGCTATTTATTTAAAGAACACTTTGAGAATACGAAATGAACAAAAAGCGGTGCTGTAACTGGAGATACAGAGAGCAGATGGGATGTCCAGGCAAGACTCTTCGCCAAGTTGCTTATGAAGTTATTGAAAAGACATGAAACCATAAGGGCAAGCAAACTCTTGGAGCCTGCAGTCCTGAAAGAGAAGTAACTTCAGCAAATAACATGTAATGAATTCCTATCTAGGAATGGAATCAAGCAAGCTTTAAAAATAATCCACCCTGGATGTTAACTAGACTTGTGGTGGTGAACATTTTGCAATACATACAAATATCAAATCATTATGTTGTACACCTGAAACTAATATGCTATACGTGTCAATTATACCTCAAAAAAATCCACCCAAATGTCCAAAGAATAACTCACGGCTCAGAAGCAGCTTCTTAGCTAACACTTGATCACAACTATTTATCACAGATGATTTACACACTTCTGTTTCCCATTTGGGTTTTTATTCATGTATTTATTTTTGAGGGGCTGAAGAGTAACCAGAACCTGTTCTGAGTTATTCAGGGCACTGTATGTGAATACCAGTAACAGTGGCCTGGACAAGCAGAGCTGGAGCAGGACTGTCCAGGCCTTGGATGAAGGAGGTCTGAGTCATCAGCACCACACGCACAGAGTAATCAAAGTACTTGCTCCGCTTCTCAATATTTACAAATGTATTTCCACATTAGTCAGGAATTCAGAAGGAGGTCTGAGAGTCTGTGAAGCCAATGACATTTAAAAACCAGGGGGGGCTTCCCTGGTGGCACAATGGTTGAGGATCCGCCTGCCGATGCAGGGGACACGGGTTCGTGCCCCGGTCTGGGAAGATCCCACATGCCGCGGAGCGGCTGGGCCCGTGAGCCATGGCCGCTGAGCCTGCGCATCCGGAGCCTGTGCTCTGCAACGGGGGAGGCCACAGCAGTGAGAGGCCCGCGTACCGCAAAAAAAAAAAAAAACCAGGGGGAAGTCACAAGGCAGTAGCATATCAAGGCTCCTCAGGTTCACAGACTTTCTTCTACCTCCAACTTTTCCACTGTCTTAAAACTCACATGATTACCAATTTGGAAAAGCAGCTCAGTCCACCATGTGCCCTGCCCCCCACCCCTCAGAAAAACGTACTTTCACTTTAAATATGTGCTCAGTGAGATACTAATTAATTAACTAAGGTATACAAGTTCCATCTCATTTAGAGTTCAGGACCAAAAACTATATATTTAATAAGTCCCACCTCCCCGAGACCCGTCCTACCAGCTTCTTTTTGTCAGATCACCTCCTCATCTTCCCAGTTTCCCATTAACATTGATCTGAAACCCCTACACAGGGAATATTGTGGCTTTTTATGGCACTTAGACTATATTAAGTATGTTCCTCAAATAGGAGCCCATTTAATTCATACAACTTTCTTTAGATAACAATTACAATCCTGAATTTTTCCAAATTAAAAAAATAAAAACTCAAAAAGGTTAAGTGATTTGCCTGGGGCCACTGAGCTCATAATTCACTCTTCCTTGCCTTGTACTATAGTAAGTGCAGAACTTGTAGTTCAGTCTAGTTTCATAATTCACCAGGCAATCAAAAAGGATGTCACTTTGCTTGATTAACAAAGCAAAGTGAGAATTCTCACTTAAAAAAATCCAAAATCCCCATCTGTATGCTAATAAGCCAAAACTCTACTTAAGAAAATGAAGCGATTTGGGACAACTGACTGAGCTGGATGTTACTAAAATAAAAAGGCAGAGTATTGAAAGTGTCTTTTATTTGGAGCCAAACACATATATCAAATACCTTTTCAAGGTTTTGTTAGCTCAGCTAGTAGTTTTCCTACAACTATTACAAGCTTCCTACCTCTTTGGGGTACCATTTTCCACATGGAAGTAAGATTAGATTTCTTCCAAATAGTTGTGATGGTGATGCCCAGCATTTGTGACCTGGCTAAACAGCCATATGGATTTTTGGTAATTTTGGAAGCAGGTAGCTTGATAATGTATGTCATATCTATCAATTAATTAGCAAGGCAGATAATATACAACAGAGAACATAAAATATTCGTGTGCCTTCACAACCTGGGGGTTTCTTTTGACCCTGCTCTCTGCCTTTTGGTCAATCAAGTAACCTGAATCCCTTAGAGAGAAGGGGCTAGGGTCCAAAAATGTGGAATGACAGTGAAAAAGAGAAAAGAAGAGGCAACCTGCCTTGGGTCAGACACAGACTCTTCTGTGATTCTGTTAATTTCATCGGAGAAACTGCCAACGGAGCCATTTCTAGTGAAAATGTTGGCATCAGCAAAACCAGCATTGGGTGCTCCTAACGGGGTCATCCCCAAACGTCCGTGCTTCCTTATGGTGTGTGCTCCAAATCCAGTGTGCTCGTGACTGCATCTCATCCCTCTTCCCCAAACTGTGTCCCTTGCTCTGGACATTTTCTGTCCTCACTATCAAATACTCCTGGTCTATTACCTCAAGGAATGCTCTCTGTTGACTTTTTAAATACTAGTATAAAAGAATATGGAAATGGCTGTTACTGGGTTAATTTGTTGACACTTTGTGCATTTTAACAGTGTCCTTCCACGACAACTCAAATGAGTAAATACCCAGAAACCACCACTGTGGCAGCCAGAGTGAGGATGGGAGGTCACTGGTACTAGTTGCTTCCATGTAGGGCTGGGCCTGATCTTAAAATGAATCACTTCCTGTATTGCTCCTTTTTTTCTTCCACAATATAAGAATTATTGCTGTACACAGCCAGCGTCATACTTTCCTGAAGGTTCTTTCATTTCACAACAGTCTTTATGTTTACTATTCTAGCCTTAGCTCTGGAATATTCTTCCTGTTGCCATTTGCGTTGCTGCCCTGGGTTTTATGAGTAGGATTTGTCAGATTAAGAAATACCACTCTCCCCTTTGACACAGTGTAGTTCTAAAACCTTCATGATTCATCAAGTCTTTGGGCTCCTCCCAACCCAACCCTTCTAGCTCATTCTAGACTTGCCATTGCAGTAGATCGTTCAAAGCTGACTATCATCTCTAATGGACATTCCTCTATCCTTGTTATATATTCAAACCAAACAGTAACATCAGTGTAATATTTGCATCAACCGTGGGCAGGCTGCCTTATTTAAAGTAGATCAACCGGACTGTTTTATTGCTAAGCTGTTCTCCAGTCTTCAAGAAAGAAGGGAAAGAATAGCAAAGTACTCCTCCAGGTTTTGCCAGGAAAACATTAACTCCTCAGGCATTATCTAAATGACTACTCAAGACAGAACCAGAACAGATAGATTCAAACAGCAGGAAGAGGACTCAGTAACTGAGGAAACTCTCAGATCCTAACCTGAAGGGAGCTGGGGGAACTTATTTCTCCGGAAGTCAACCTAAACCATTCAGGTTTCCCTAAAGGAGAGCGAAGAGATCAGAGAACCCCCCCAGAGGCCCTCTACATTTGAGATCAGTACATGATTATCGAGCAAGTGCATACAAGCACCTTATAAACTACCGAGGACTGCATAAATAGTTATGATCATGTAAGACTCTCAATCCATGATCACAGAGCTTTAGAACTGGAAAGGCTTCATTTATATTAATGGAGATTTCAAAACAATCTACTCTTAAGAGACAGGCCTTGGCTCTTTAAATCGGAGGAAATACCAAATGCAGCCACCTAGTTATTGAATGTGTTGTCATTTATTCACTTGAAATAAAATAATGATTAAGTACCAGCTATAAGGGTTAACACCAAGATGGATATTTGACAAGGGTTTTGACTTCTGGCAACCTTAAATCTGGTGGAGCCTAGTTTACACACACAACGTTGAAATAATACAAATAACAGTTAATGCTAATACAAGACATTGACATAGATGGTGTCATGCAGCGGTATGTTATTATTGCCAAGTGAATGACATAGACAGGAGGGCTGCTATGCCCCTTGTGTCCCAGCCTGGCTGTGACAGGCATGTGGGTCATGATTGGACAACCTGGAAGGCCTTTTAGCCCTCGCTGGGGGCTTGCTGGGGAGTCAAAATGTCAAGGGAAACTCTAAACCTTCCAGTTTCTTCCTCACTCACAGTATGCCACATGTTGTCCATCACTAAATTCAGGCCCCAGTCTCAGATTTTTCTCTCCCACCCGTAAGCTTGGTGTTAAACTGTCGGGCGGCTAGGTAGAGATAGGTGAGTCCTAATGAGTAAAGAAGGTCACCTGTGGGGACATCAGCATCAAAAGGCCCCCCTTTGTCCTCAACGTTACAAACCCCTCGCCCATGCCTCCTTGGTTCTTTACCCCAGCGCTTCTGGGCAGAGAGGACCCACAGTCTAGATATCTCTGGATAACTCAGGGGTTTTCAGCCTTTAGGAAACAGAACACTTTGTGAATCCGAGGAAATCTATGAACACTTTCCCAAGGAAAGCACAAATAACCATAAAATTTTGTGTACAATCTTAGAAGGTTCATAGACCCTCAAAATTCCATTTATGGACCGCAGGTTAAAATCTCCTGACATAACTGAACATATACTTGAAAACTGGGCCCCCAGATGAGTTCTAATGCTGAGTTCAAATAAAAAATACAAAATCAAGAATTATTCATGGGGTGACAAGAGAAATTTGAGATATGATTCCTAACCTCAAGAAGCTTAAATTATAGTTTTATCTATATACATACTCCCACCCAGTCTTTTAACTTGCTGTAAGTAGAGGCTGTGTTCTGAAGGAACTCTGGCAGAACATTTGCCACAGTTAAAAACAGCCCCCCGCCCCTCCAGTATTATTCCCCAGAAAGTCCATGTCTGAAAAGGAAGAGGGTCCTGGTCAGGGTTCCTATGGGGAACTCCACCTCCCATCTACTTCTG